TAATATATTTGCAGATATCTCCAATCTGATTTCGTACAAGTACAATTGTAATTGCAGATATCTCTAATTGTCATTCTGACAAGTCGAATTATAATAATGACTTGTCAAAATATATAATTATATCTCTAAATATATTTATGGATAGTCTGAACAAGGTTTAAATGTTAAAACGGCTTGCCATACGCTCTCACTCAGCAGCACAGTGGAGATTTCTCTAGTTATATCGTTTCAGTCGTTTGTTATGCAGTGACATGCAGTCAAATATTTCGCCAAACAGTCCTTAAGGATGCGGTGACACGCAGTCAGATATTTCACTGAACAGATCCGCCACTTTTGGCGCTCATAAACAATCAAAGCTCTCGTGCTGCAGGAATGAGGAGGCCTGCTGGAGGCGCGCAGCTGGCGTGCTGTGAGGAGTTTGCGTCTTTAATAAACTACGGCAGTTTGCGTTCACTGAACAGTAAGAATGATTAATAAATCCATATCAAACAGTCCCTTAAAAGTCACGTCTCGCTTTCGGTTTCGGGCTTTGGCGCGTTTCGCGCTCACACACAAGCGTACCGCGCCAAAGCCCAAGTGTACCGCGCTCAGGCACACCTCTTCCAACCGGGCCAGGGCTGGCCAAGTGAACCGTGCTTGAGCCCGATTCAGCGTACTCACACTTCTCAAACGATCCGGGAAACGGGCCTGGGCACGGTACGGATGGCATAGTGTGAGTAGGCCCTAATACATTACGAACAATTTAGCTTACCCAATTCACCTATAGAGCATGTCTTTGGACTTGTAGGGGATAACGTAGCACCCAGAGGAAACCCACGCCAACATGGGGAGAACAAGCAAACTCCACATAGAAACACCAACTGACCCAGCCGGGACATGAACCAGCGACCTTCTTGAAGTGAGACCATAGTGCTAACTATTGAGCCACTGTGTCACCCGGCAAGCAAATTAATATGGGCTAAATTTAAACAAACGTATTAGGTTGAACCTTACTTGCTTATTAGTAGGGTTGTTTTATAGCGAAGTTGATATTTAGTCGCACCATGCTGGTGTTCCGCAACATATACATTTTACAAGGTGGATTGTTAGCCCAATGCTCAACCCCCAACCTGGAGGACCAGGACATATACTTATACACTATGGACAATTTAGCTTACCCAATTTCCCCTATAGTGCATGTGTTTGGACTTGTGGGGGACAACGGAGCACCCGGAGGAAACCCACGCCAACATGGGGAGAACATGCAAACTCCACACAGAAACACCAACTGGCTCAGTCGGGACTTGAACCAACGACCTTCCTGCTGTGAGGCCACAGTGCTAACCACTGAGGCACTGTGTGGCCCTGCAAACAATTAAAATGGGTTGAATTTAAACAAACAAATCAGGTTGAACATCACCAAATTTAATTCGTATAAATCCAGCCCCATTAAACAGTTCGCAACCACTTACCTTAAAACAAAAAAGTTAGTTAATCCAATGAATCTGTTTTTCTTCAGTGTGTATGTTTGTTTGTTTGTTTGTTTGTTTGTTTGTTTGTTTTTAGGTTTAACAATCGAACACTTACAAAGTTGTTAATAATACATCAAAAGAGCAAAAACCGAAGAACGAAAATATAAAGATCCGTTTTTTTTTAAACGCCGTATTTTCCCAAACGCCGTCGTCCTTCCAGTCGGTTTTCAGCAAAGTTTGGTAGTCAGATGATCCGATTGTTTTAAGATTTCTGTGTTGTACATGTCCAACGCATGATTGACCCGAATCATCTCGCTGTTGTTGAGCTTGAGCCGATGTTTCAGCATACACGAAAACAAGTCCAGTTGCGGTTTTCCCGGAGCCACCGGGGGCGCCAGACGGTTAATTCTCTCCCGAATATCCAGCAGAAGCAACATGATGGACGAAGACGAGTAAAACTGGGTTCCCTGCGTGTACGATTGATTAACCTGCTGTACGGCGCTCCTCAGAAGATCCGCGTTGAAGCGTACGCTATAACCGAACACTTGGATATCAGAAATCTTGATGTAGATCTGCCTCTTGTTGGGATCCGATAAGTCCACTGGGCCGCTATCATTACGCAGGACAGTCGGCACCTTCGCACGGCTCCTTAGATAAATATGCACGGTCTCGAAAAAGGTCTTCCATCGGTTCCCCAATAGCAGCGTCCAATTAAAACACTGCGAATTCTGCAAGCGAACTTTTTCCCAGCGTGGATATCCATGCTCGCCGAAAGGCATGCTCCATCCTTCGGAGTGGCTGCCGCTGAATGGGTTTACATATACGAAAAACATGGGATCCACGCTGCTGTTGCGCATCTGGCAGATCTTCATTGACAGTCCCACGATCATGTGCAGGTAATCCATACGGTTTTTGTTGCTCTTGAGCGTCAGCGACATCCGCTTGCGCCATCGCGGATCGAAGAAGGTCTCCAGGCGCACTTCGTTGCTGATGAAGGTGGTGTGTATGTGCAGACGCGAGTCCATCTTCTGCAGCAGGTATTTGAGCTCCAGGTCCTGGAAGTCCAGGTCTGTTTCGAAGCTGATGAACTGCTCGCTGCGCTCCGAGTCTACATTCTGCGGCTCGCAGCGGCCTCGGTACAGCTTGTAGCCCTTGTTGCAGGATCCGCACTGGGAGATGTTGGCCAGGCTGCACATGGCGCAGCTGTTGTTGCCTCCGATCACACACGGGATGGGCCGCTGGCAGAGCGTGGCGCCAGTGTGACACACACATGTGCGCTGGCTCTCTAGGAAAGTTCCCCAGAAGCCGTTCTCATTGCAGTAGAGGAAGGACTGCACGCGGTTCAGCCACTGCAGCACCGATCTGAAAGCACACAGAAAACAGTGATGAACTCCAAATACAACCTCAAATCTGAAAACAAAAGGTTGGGAGAGTATGGAAAACACAAATAAAAAAGAAAGTAGTGATTTCTAAATTGCTTTTGACTTTTATTTCATTGCAGACAATACAACAAACATTATTTAATGTGTTCCTCATGATTTTATTGCTGTTTTTTTTCCAAAATAAACAATGTTGGTTCTTGTGACACATTTCAAAAAAGCTGTATCAGTAAAGCATTTACCACTTTGTAATGTTGCCTTTTCTTTTTACAGCACTTGAAAGACATTTAGGGACTGAAGACACCAAGTGAGGAAGTATTTCAGGTGTAATTGTGTCCTATTCATTCCGGAAAACCAGTTTTAAAGGGTCATGAAACACCAAAACACATTTTGAGCGGTTGACAGTAAATTATGTGTCCCATTCATTCATTCATTCATTCTCTAGTCAGCTTAGTCCCTTTATTAATCCGGGGTCGCCACAGCAGAATGAGCCGCCAATTCATCCAGCAAGTTTTTACGCAGCGGATGCACTTCCAGCCGCAACCAATCTCTAGGAAACATCCACACACACATTCACACACACACTCATACACTACAGACCATTTAGCCTACCCAATTCACCTGTACCGCATGTCTTTGCACTGTGGGGGAAACCGGAGCACCCAGAGGAAACCCGCGCGAACGCAGGGAGAACATGCAAACTCCACACAAACACGCCAACTGAGCCGAGGTTCGAACCAGGGATCCAGCGACCTTCTTGCTGTGAGGCGACAGCACTACCTACTGCGCCACTGCCTCGCCGGATGAAGTATTTCACATGTAATTTTGTCCCATTCATCCTGCAAAACAAGTCTTAAGCAGGTCGCACACCAGAAGCGCCGCTCGGCGCCGCGACACGGCGCGTACATGACAGTTTAAAGTATCACACACCAGACGCGCACATTTAAATGATATTTAACATTAAACTAATCAGATGGCGCTCTGTGGCGCGGCTGAAAAATGAACTGCGTCCTGAGCTGTCGCCCGGCGCCACCGACAGCCGCCGACTTGCGGCGCCGGTGTGTGTATCCTGATAGAAACCTATGTTTAGAATTCTAAAATACATGGCGCTGCGTGGCGCGCCGCCGAGCGGCGCTTCTGGTGTGCGACCTGCTTTAAGGTGAGCAACAGGAGTCTTTGTTAACACATTTTGTGCTTCAAAATGCACCACACATTCTCTCCTGGAGACAGGTTGGGACTGCAGGCAGGCCAGTCAAGTATCTGTATCCTCAACTACCTGCAGTGTGTGCAGAATATGGTTTTGCATTGTCTTGGTGAAAGATGCATGGGTGTCCGTGGAAAAGTAGGTAGCATATTGTGCTCCAAAGTCTCCATGTATTTTTCGGCAGTAATGGTGCATCAAAGAAGTGGGCAATGACACAATTCCCATACCATGACAGACCTTGGCTTTTGGACTTGTTGCTGGTAAAAGTATAGATCAGGCATGTCCAAGCTTGGTCCTAGAGGGCCGGTGTTCTGCAAAGTTTAGTTCCAACCCCAATCGGACACACCTGGGCTAGCTAATCAAGCTATCTAGGCATTCTAGAAACATCTTTGCAGGTGTGTTGAGGCAAGTTGGAGTGAAACACAAGCACTTCAGGACCGAGTTTGGACACCCCTGGTATAGATGGTAATTTTTTTCTTTGGCCCATAGCACATGGCCTCCATTTCTCCCCAACAATACCTGAAATACTGATTCATCTGACCACAGTACACATTTCCACTGTGTGATGGTCTATCCCAGATGGCTCCAAGCCCAGGGAGGTCAACTATACACTTCTGGACACTGTTAACATAGGGCTTCCATTCAGCACAGGATAGTTTTCACTGGCATTTGTGGATGTAAGTACTTATTGTGGGTCTAGACTTCGGTTTTCCACATTAGTCCTGAACCCATGTGGTAATATGGCTTATAGATGAATGAGAATTCTTGATGCAACACCGTCCGAGGGATCGGAGATCATGGTTGTTCAGCTTAGGCTTGCGCTCCTGTCCTTTACGCACTGAAATTACTCCAGATTGCTTGAATCTTTTAATAATGTTCTGCACTGTTAGATGTGAAATATCTAAATGTCTTTCTCTCTAATTCTGACTTCATGTGTGGGGACATTTGGTCCCCACAATGTAAGCAATACAAGGTACACACGCACACACACAACATCTAAGAATCTGCAGCTTTAACTTTTTGAATACTGTATTTAAAACAAATACACTCAATATAGACTCTTTCTCGTAGTGAGAAAGGAGTGTTGTATACTGAGTAAACACTGAGTGAATACTGCACACTGATGAGGGATATATTCATGAAATGATTCTCTGTAAGGTATGTGATGCTCTGAAAGAAAAACACCTTAACCGCTTGACCAAAATGAGTTTTCTAAGAGGAATAATGTGCTCATCTCTTAGGAGTTGGACTTGTAATCAAAAGGTTGCAGGATTGATTCCCGGCCCCGGCAGGAATTGAAGATGGATGCATGAGTATGGGTCAACATACTGGATAATACTCTGGATATACCCAGGTATGATTTTTCAGCACTCTTTCCAGCATAACAGTTAATAATGCAGCGATATATCCAGCGCCTCGGCCTCCTGACGCTTGTTACAGTCTAATCACTAAAACAGATAATGCATTCTGTCAAAATTTCCCCTCGTCTTTTCTGTCCCGCAGGCGGTGCGGCTTGTCATCGGGAAAATCCTCTGGTGCTTCAGAGAAAACCTGCGTTTTGATTTCTGCGAGACAGAAGTGCTAAAGGTTAGGATGACATGTTAATGAACCCGGAGTCGCATGTGTGGATTTTCCTGCTTGATTTCCCAGACTGTCTTTTCCCGCTGCTCTGAGAATGACATTACGCAGACAAAAGGCCAGAGACGCTGCGCTCAGATTTGACTGTTCACAAAAAGATTTTCTTTTTCTGCAAAGCAAAGTGTGGAGGATGAGCAACGCTTTCTTTACTGCTCTGAATGTGCACTCTGAATAAAATAAACATGATAAAATAAATAACAGACACGGCTATTAAAATAGTAGGACTAGTTAGGCTTGAAAATAGAAACAAACAAACACTTAATTGTAGTAGTAGTAGTAGTATCATCATCATCATCATTATTATTATTATTATCATAATTATTATTATTATTATTATTATTATTATTATTATTATTATTATTAATATTATTTAGATATTTTGCACTTAAAAATCAACTAAATAAAAATTAAAAAGGGGTGAAAATTTTTGTTTTATTTATTTATTTATTTTTTTAACAACTGTTAATATTAAATAATAATCATAATATAATAGCGTTTAAT